TAAGTTAAGAGTAAGCCATGAGCAGTGTGGGATATTGCCCAAAAATAAAAGAAAAAGGAGTCTCTCTTTTGACCCTTCCTTCTCTCCTGAAGTGGCTAAATAAACATGTCTAGGTTCCGTCACCTTTCTGAAATTCAGTTTCTTCAACTGTGATCTGGAAATGCTGTAACATATATATCACAGGATTTACTGAATGCTAACTGAAGGATATGAGGTTGGAGTGTACTTTGCCAGCCATAAAATATTTTATATAGCCATAAAGTAGGAGATAATTACAACACAAATGCTAGAACTTGGGGTGTTTTTCTTCTCTAGAACGCTTTAAAGTTTTCAAAGCAGTTGCGGCTTGATAAATTATAGGATAAGCTCCTCTTAATCATAACATTTGTGAAGTCTCCCTTTTCTCCTGCGTAAATAGACACTCAGTTCGTGTCTGGGTAGAAGGACAGAAAGAAAGGGAGATGGTGTGTCCGGATGAAAAAGAAAGCTATTCATCACATTTTCCTTTCTTGTCTATGTTATAGGGTAGGCGTTATTATCCAGAGGCCATGAATGCTTTATTGCTACAGAAAGCTTATTTTTCTGCTGTTTTGGTATTATTATTATTATTATTATTATTATTTAATCACATCCACTGTGCTCAGAGTTTATCCATGGCTCTGCACTTAGGGATTACTCCTTGGGGTGCCATATGGGGGTACCAGGAATCCCACCTGGACTGGATTCCTGCAAGCAAATACCCTACCCTGCTGTACTATCCCTTGGGCTCCTCTGCTTTTTTTTTTTAATCATTGAATAAAAATACAGAGCAGCTACCATGAGCTGAGCATTGTGCACATTTCAGCAGAATGCTGTTGACTGCCTCCCCGAGCGCACGCCTATTTCTTCAGCTGCTCGTGTTGCCCTTTAAACTTCCTGAGGAATGCTCGCTAAATTGGGGCCTGTGCAGCGAGAGGAAGGGCTCGGCAGGGCTGCTGGTCACACAGCTCACAGCCTTGTCCTGTGAATTGTTTCCTGCTGTGCACATGCAGCCCGTGGTTCCCCGTGGGCTGGGAAATATGTTTTTCCAGGAAGGAAATCACTGCTCCTCCCTCCTCCCTGTGTTTCTTTCCCTCCTGGGGGCCTCTCTTCTCCACACAGGGAGAGCAATGTACCTTCTTGATCCTGTGCCCTCACCCCTCCCCAGGGCATCAGCTCTGTCCTGCGGCTGCAAGGGTGTGGGAGGGGTCCTGGGGATTGAGTGGGGATTGAGAACTCCCTGAAGGGATATTGGACAACTCCCTCCCACTGAACTGAATCTCTTTTTGGGATTTTTTTTTCTTTTTGGGTCACAATCGGCATTGCACAAGGGTTACTCCTAGCTCATGCACTCAGGAATTACCGCCTAGTGGTGCTCAGGGGACCATATGAGATGGTGGGAGGAATCGAACCTAGGTTGGCCGCGTGCAAGGCAAGTGCCCTACCCGCTGTGCTCTTGCTCTAGTCCCCCACTGAACTGAATCTGTTTTTTGGTTTTTTGGGTTTTTTTTTTTTTTTTTTTTTGCTTTTTGGGTCACAATCGGCATTGCACAAGGGTTACTCCTAGCTCATGCACTCAGGAATTACCCCCTAGTGGTGCTCAGGGGACCATATGAGCTCAATGCTGGGAATCGAACCTATGTCGGCCGCATGCAAGGCAAATGCCCTACCTGCTGTGCTCTCGCTCCAGTCCCCCACTGAACTGAATATGAGCTGAGTCTCTGGAGCTGACACTTGAGGGCCTGGGAGAGGTTTGCTCAGCTCTTCTCTCTCCAGGAGGCCCGCTAGCTGGGCTTTAGAAGCAGGCTGTGCGTGTCCTATACCTGAACAGTGGCTACAGAAGGGTCCGCGTTTGCCATCTCTTTCTTTTCCAGATGGAAAGAAGGAACAGGTTCGGGGACTAGAGCGATAGCACAGCGGGTAGGGCGTTTGCCTTGCACGTGGCCAACCCCGGTTCGATTACCAGCATCCCATATGGTCCCTTGAGCACCACCAGGAGTAATTCCTGAGTGCATGAGATGAGCCAGGAGTAACCCCTATGCATCGCCAGGTGTGACCCAAAAAGCAAAAAAAAAAAAAAAAAAAAAAAAAAAAGGAGAAGAAGGAGCGGGTTCAGACCATTGGGCGGTTTCAGGAAAAAAATTAGAGTTGTGACTCCGAGTTTTGAGCTCTAAATCCATGACTCTTAGTAATGTGGGGAACGGAGACTTTCAAGCATATGTTTTTTTTGAGAAGACAAGTTCTAGGTGAGAGTGTAGAGAAGGAACAGGACCTATGGAGTCATCAGCAGGACAAGGTTAAACCAGGGCATATCTTTTTTTTTCTGTCTGTCCTGGGAGAGTTTCCTTGAATACTCTGATCTTTTGCTTGTGTGTGTGTGTGTGTGTGTGTGTGTGTGTGTGTGTGTGTGTGTGTGTCCCCAAAGGAACAAAGAATGTTTATGCTTTGTGCATGCAGTGAAGCTTGAAAGAGATAGTGTTTAAGAGCTTAGCATAATAGTACTCAGCCTATCTAGAGGTCTGGTTTGTGTCTGATAGGTTTGCTGGAAAGGAGGGAAGAATATAGTGATTCTAGACAAAGATCTCAGTTGATGGTGAAGGTGGCGATTTTAATGATCTGGATCTTATTGGTACAACTTTAATTTATAAGCATCTTCTCAGTGCCTGTGCAACCATGCGGGGCTGTTTTCTTCATTGTGGAGTCATCTTTTCCATCTCCAAAATCCAGTCTTTGCTTATCAACCGTACTTTATTCTCAGATTGTGAGCCTAGATAGAAGAACAAGGAATCCACTAACTAGAGAAGAAACAAGAGTTGTTCACACATATCATTTTAATCATTTCAGTCACTTTCCAGTATTCATTGATTCTGTCTAAGAACTTTAGTTGTCCATCGTATGTAAAGAACCATTAGTGTGGATCCTCTTCAGAAATTCCCTCGACATAGGGATGGGAGTGATAGTACAGCAGGTTGGGCTCTTGCCTTGCACATGACTGACCTGGGTTTGATTCCTGGCACCGCATATGGTCCCCTAAGTTCACGAAGTTGTGATTCCCAGGCTTAAAACTAGAAGCACTGAGCACTGCCAAGGTGTCACCCCAAAACACAAACAAACAAAAAAACCAAACAATTTAAGAAAAAAAATCCCCTCAATGTATACTAATAGCATTGCACCAACTGTGGCCAAACCCTTTTCTGCTAAGGATATCAGGATCAGTATCTTTAGGCCTCTAAGATGCTGTGACTTAAAGATCAGAGGACACTGGTCATTTCATTCCTGGGACATTCATCTTGGAGAGAAATCTAAGACTCAATCATGTGGAATCAAAATGCTTGACTGAATCCCAGCCCTGCTTCCAGTGAGCTGTGTGACTTGCTTAAGTTACTTCTCATTCCTAAGTCTTGGTTTCCTCACCTGTAAGGCAGAACTGCAGAGATGCCCACTCTCACATGCAGAGAGGTCCTGCAAACAGAGCTCATTTGGAATCAGCCCCCTCGCAGGGCTTTATCCAAAAGCTTGTTCAGCCTGTATGGGGAACTGGATCACTCAGCATCGAACCAGAAAAAGACCATCCACTTTACATACATGAAAAAAGGGACAGGCAAAGGAGGTGGGGTTCCCCGAGGTCAGGGATAATTGATACCAGCAGATGTTAGGGTCTAGGGTGGCTCTGAGAGCAGAACTTAAGTCACCAAGGGGAAGTGGGTGCCTGGTTCAGGGCAGAGTGCATGTTCTCTGGTCACTGTTTCCTTCAATGCTCAGAACTTTGCTGGTACTCTGACCAATGGAAGTCACAGAACTGCAGGGCAGCCTCCTCCTCCTCCTCCTCCTCCTCCTCCTCCTCCTCTTCCTCCTCCTCCTCCTCCTCCTCCTCCTCCCTCCTTCTTTTCCTTCTTCCTTCTTCTTCTTCTTCCTTTTTTTTTTAAACGGATCACCGGGAGGTACAGTTACAGACTTACAGACTTTCATGCTTACCTTTCAGTCATACAATGATAGAGTACCCATTCCTCCACCTTCCACCCTCCTCCAGTGCCCATTTTCCACCACCAGTGTTCTCAGAGCCCTTCCCACCCCCTCCATCCCCTCTCCCCCTCCCCACTTCCTCACTCCCTACCCCTAATCCCACCCCCTCATCCCCCACCCCCTGCCCAACACCCACCTCCGCTCCAGCACATTCCCTTTTATTCTCTCCTTTAGGATGTTGTGGTTTGCAGTGCAGGTATTAAGTGGCCATCATGTTCGGTCTACAGTCTACTTTCAGCACGCATCTCCCATCCCAAGTGCAGCCCCTCATTCTTAACCACTGAGATGACTCAGCGACTATGTACCCAGGAGACCCCAAAATGCAGTAATTGAATGAGGCAGTTCCCTTGCTGGGGACTGAACTGAGACAAGCTAGATGAGACGCAGCTCTGCTCTCCTCCTCACCTTGGGCAGTTCCTTCAGGCTCTGTTCATGTGCCCTAGTTGCCACATGGACATCTGTGGCATTCATAGTAGCCAGGACACCGGATTTTTGCCATCCCAGCTGAGGGGCTGGTGTTTCCTTCACACAGAACCATGTCTGTCTACTGCTTTCCTTGTTCTCACAACAGCGCCTGCCATATCCCGGGCTGGGCAGCTGGAACTGGCTGGAGCAAAGCCCCAGGGACCGGCTCTCAGGTCCCCTTGGAAATGCCGGGGCTCTCTGGAGTTCTGCAGACACTGGTCCCCAGAGACAACTGCTTTCTTGGGCAGATTCAGCTATAAAACGAGAGCATCTTCTCTCTCTGTCTCTCTCTCTCTGTCTTTCTCTGTCTCTTTCTCTCCCTCCCTCCCTCCCTCTCACTCTCTCTCCCTCTCCCTCTCCCTCTTTTTTTCTCTCTCCCTCTCCCTCTCTCTCTCTCTCTTCTCTTCTCTTCTCTCTCTCTCTCTCTCTCTCTCTCTCTTTCTCTCTCTCTCTCTATCCTTTCTGAAGAGGATATTGTTTTTGCTTCCTTGTAGGAGTGATTGGAGCAGATGTGAGAGGGCACGGCCTCCCTGGTGAGGGCCAGCCAATGACGTCACGGCTGGCAGTCATCTGTGGAACATCTTCTTGTCACATGGGGGTGAGTCTGCCCGAGGCACCAAGGCACTGGGCTGGCAGCCTGGGGGGGGGGGTGGGGGGGGACTGAGGAGGAAACCCTCAGCCTACTAGGCTCCTTTCTGTCCTTCCCTCTGTGTTGTTTAGCTGAACCCCACCCACCCATCCCCCCACCCCACTCCCACTATATATAGCCTTGATCAGATTTGCTGGATGTGTTTCCAAAAGGTTAAGGCTCTCACCCTGTTCAATGCAGCTCAGGCCTGAGGGCTGAAACCATATCCATGGAGGCCAGAGCCTCCCTCCCTGACAGAGCTGCCCCTGAAGGGACGCAGCATCTTCTCAGTAACAAGTGTCTGTTTTCCTTGGCCCTGGGCTTACTCTCAATCAATATAAATCCATCTCCTTGGGAGCAGGCCTGATGATCTATAGAATTAGGCTGCATATCATGACTTCAAAAGAACACTGATAAGCAATTTTCACTTTGTTAATTTTTCCTCCATGAATTAGTGGGAAGGCTTTCTCCAAGATTGCAGTTAAAATTTAGTGCCTGCCCTAAAATTTATATCTTCTTTAAATGCACGAGTCTGAAAGCATTCCATTTCGATAAGTACCCATTTCTACCATATTTTTATTTAAAAGTCATTACTCTGTTAAGCATAGATGGACGATTCTTTGGATCTGTCCCAGATGAGTAAAATAGAGATGAGAGTGGGGGCAGTGGGAGGCATGTGTCATGGAGGGAGGGGGGGCTGAAGGGGGGAGGAAAGCAAGAACTCAAGTGGGATTCAATCCAGGGTTGAATTCCTGCAACTCAGGAGGGAATCCTAAGCAGCAGGAAACTGTAATAACTATAGGGTCCAGTGGGCCTCTACCTGAAATATTTTGGTTCAGTCAATATTGGTCCATTTGCTCCTTTATTGATACCCTTGTGTCTGGAGCTATGCTCAACCAAGAGATCATAGGGTCTCCCTCTGATTACAGTTGTTGTTCAAATATCTAACAGGATACCAAACTTCATTGTCATGTGAAACTTGTGATGTTGAACTTCTGTTTGTATGCATTCTCTCACACAGTTTCTCATTCCATAGAGACGTTGGAGCCAGCAGCATTAACTACCAACCCCTGTTCCTTGGTTTACAGTATCTGGGCCCTTGGGCAAGAGAGTGACACATTTCCAGTTTGTCTCCTGCAACGTTGTGAGAGTGAGATCCCCTCTCTTGTCGAGCTAGGAGGCTGAAAGTAAGGTGTTCCAGGCACCCTGCTCCTGAGGTACCCTCCCCATCTGACATAAGAACTGCAAGTCAAGTTGCCAAGTGACAACCTGACTTAACAGCTTAGGATGAGTGTGAGTGCTGTGGGAAGGAGCAGCTGCCTCTGACCCTGTGACTTTTCCACCTCTGTCTGACCCCTGCTGCATATTATCTGGGGTTTTGGTGACTTGGTAGTAATTAACTCTGAACCAGCAGCTCTATTTTCAGGGAGTTAAAAAAAGAACATTTCCTCCCCCTTCTGATAATTAAATCATCTACAACGAAGATAAATGTGCAGCCCACACTGTCTTCTAAAATATCAAAGGCCTGGTTGGTGAGTCTTAGGTTCCACCTCAGGCTTTTCCTCCAAATTCCTGAAAGTAGGGGGCTAGAAGTCAGGAATTTCTAAGTCTTTCCCAAAGCTGTCTTACTCAAATAGTCATTCATTCACTAACTCATTCACTCATTCTGGGTGGTGTAGGAGGGACAACTGGATCAAACATAAACTGTTCCCAGGAGTTTTGTCTCAATCCACCTCCAGTGAAATACACAGTGACACCATATGAAGAAAGAGAATCCTTTAGATCTACTTGAGACCCATCCTTTGGTGGAGATGCTGCTTTCCTGGCTTAAAACTCTGGGGCACTCTCAAGAGCAGGGCAGGCAGAGTCCCATTCTGCCTAAGCCCCAGCAGACACATCGACAGCCCCAAACTTCCCATCTACCAAATGCCTGATTCTGTGATGTAATGAATGATCTCTGCAAGAACATCAAACCACAAAAATTCCAGGTACACACCATTTTAGACTGAGAACACTGGGATCTTCTCACAGTGGAAGAGAGCCTCCTCCTCCCAGCCCCCATACCTCTGGAAGCCCCGAAAGGCATGCCCATTTCCTACAGCTACTACCTTGTCAACTTGTGGCCCAGTTCTAGAGATCCTGGAGTTTGGGACTGCATGGACACAAATGCAACCATGCAACACCTCCAAATTCCACAATACTGACCTTCCAGTAGGACTATACCAAGATGGGAGAATAACATAGCAGCCAACTAAACTCAACAAAAACAGTAACACAAAAGGCTCAGCTAGCAACACGCAGCTTAAACCTCAGACAAAGAGTTCACTAACACATGGTGAAATAAAACAAATTCTCTTTTACTGAAATGTTTTTGATAATTCTGTTAGTCATTTACGTGTAACAAGCAGTATAAAATAAATTATTGTGTGCCTGGTAAGACTTGGGCAGTGGTTGAGAAAATAGGGAGGGAAAGTCACTCTTGTTATGGGATTATTGTTGGAATATTGAAAGCCCATAACAACCATATTATGAACAACTTTATAAACCACAGCATTTAAATTAAAATATTGGGGGGGGGGGAAGAAACCCATTCTTTGGGAAGTCCCCAGCCCTGTATGGTCCTTGAGTCTTGTTGGGTGAATTTTTTCCCCCCTGACAGTTGGTGGTTTTATTCACCAGGACCACAACAAAGGGGGTCCTTGAGTTTCTGGGCACCTTTTCTCAGACCTACACCTCCAGGGGACCTCACAAAGCTGTGATTGTTACTGGCTCACTGGGCGCCTGGCACCTGAGCAAGATCAAACGTTCTCTGTGATGCTACATGACCACAGTCTCGCCTTCCCCACAGTACATTAAAGCTGATGATTAATCCCTGGGACCCAAAAGGTCCCTTCTCACTCCCAAGTACAAAGCGGGGGAAGGGGACTTTATTTACAGTGTGATACCTCCATAATAAACTGGCATCTTCATGACCATTGAAGTGAAGGGCAGCTGCCCATCAAACTGGCTAAATCCAAACAGTTGAACCACACCCGCCCCCAGTTTTTTGAGTGCCTGCTAGTACTAGGTGAGTACATGATTAGTTCATGTCAACTGGCACCCCTGTGAGAGAGGCATTCCCATCCCTTTGGGGCAAGCACAGATACTTGTGGCTCAGAGAAGCTAAAAGGTCATCTCAGTCTCTCAGCCACAGTGCCAAAGGACATGAGCAGAGGTTCGATCTCACATCTGGGTGACTCTGAGGCCCGAGAGTCATCATTTCTCTCTGGAAACATGACCAGTATCACAAACTAGGTGCAGTGTACAGAAAAACAAGCTTAGGAGCTGAACAGAGTCATTTCTCTGTGCCCAACTCCAGTGTACTTGCTTTGTGGCCCATGGGGAATGACTGACTTTTCTATGGTCTCGTGGAAGACCTACCGTGGATCCCGGGAGGTCAAGCAAGATCATGTGCATCTAGACAAGGGGATAGGGAAGAGGGAGCTCACATGTGACCAAGATTCTGGTAGATTCGCTTCTGTCCAGAAACCCACATTTAGATGCCTGACATGAGAAACCAGATTTGATGGATGTGTCCCTTGGAGGACAGGAGATGGTTTGAGCAGGTTTATGTGGGGCCTGTGGAGGACAAGGGAACCATGCAGATTGCATGCAAAGAAAAATAAGGTTTGCTGCCTTGGCAGACCCTTCCTGAAGAGTCTGGGGAATATTGAAGAGGAGGTGCAGGGAGCTTTGTGGATCCCTCCCTGCAGGGGTTGAATGCTAAGCTTAACTTCCACCAGGGAACGGAGAGAGATCAGGGATTTTCAGCTATATTAAAGAAGGTACATGTAAGACTTTGTCCCGAAAAACAAATGAAAGTCAACTTTTATGTTTCACCTTTTAAATTTATTTTTCTAGAGGTTAATGCTTACAGAAACCTAGATATTTATTAAGGATTGGGGAAGGCTTGGGACTAAACCCAGTGATGCTCAAGGGCTGTTCCTGACTCTGTGCTCAGGAGTGACCCATGGTGCTGCTCACGGGATTATATTCGGTGCCAATGATTCCAACCCCAGGCCAAACTCGAGTTCGGTGCCAATGATTCCAACCCCAGGCAAAGCAAGTGCTTACCTCCTTGACCATCTCTCTTGCCCCAAATCTACAAATCTTCAAAGCCAAGCACTGATGTCCCCTGAGGAAGAAGCCTCTAACCCCAGGCCCCATCCAGACTCTCTGTCCCTGCCTTCTTTTAACTGACCAACATCCTAGTTCATGATGTGGTCCATGGAGCAGGGTGCCTTGGACTAGTGAGGTTTGAACAAAACAATAGTTGATGAGAGCTAGAAATTCTTCTGCATCCTTAATCATTCTAAATAAATGGCAGGATGGTTGTTTTCAGTCACTTAGCAGGCCTGGATCTCACAGACACAGATGGTGTAGAGGCTCAGGTACGATGCTTCCTCTTTCTACACTGTAACTTACCACAAGGTTGCTGTAAAGTTTTGCTTCACTTTGTTTTTATAAATTTAAGCACCATGATTTACAATTGTGTCCATAGTGGATTTTCACGCATGTGATGTTTACAGGCTCTCTCCCAGCTCCTCATTTTGGCTAGCACATTTTTTTTTGCTAGCATATTTTAAATATGGCTTCATTAAAGCTGGACATCTGGGAAGACAGTTCCTCTTCTTCCTTGGAGAAATTGCTGGTCATCAGGGTCCCAATCGAGCTAGTATCTGTCTCTTCTGTTTCCATCTGAGTTGTCTGTTCCCCACTGGTCCCAGTGTGGGGGCTCAGCTCCTTGACCCTGTCTGCGTATCTCAGCGTGTTTAAAGTATATTCACAGGAACTGATGCCCGGGGAGATCATGGTAATCATGCAGGTCCTCGAGTTCTCCCCGATGGAGTCCCTCAGCACCTGCGTCAGCTTGCTCTCTCGGAACGGGGTATGCGCCTTGTTCTGTCCCAGGGCCCTGATGCACTCCTTCA